TGACCCGCATACAGATTTCCCTGATAATAGTGTAGGGCTAAATGATTAAGTTCTAGCCAATGGAATGTTGTAGGGAGTGATAACAGCTACTTTCACACACATACATACATACATATATATACTACTATATAATATCTCGCTATATGTACATATATAATATATATTTAAGTATAATGCTTTATATAATGTATATCTATCATGTAACATCACTAATATTACACTTATAAATTAAAATTATATCCCATACATTAAATTTTTCAAGTAGTTAATACGAAAACAAATGGCTGAGTATTCATCCTGTATTAAGTGAGACTTTCTTCACTGTAGAATGTTTATGGCTTCTTAAATATTTGTTTTGCTAGAACAATCTATCACTATTTCTATGCTTTATACTATGGATATTATTATAGAAGTTCAAGTAGAAAGTAGGGCTGCCATTTCCTTCTCCAGGGGATCTTCCCAACACAGGGGATTGAACCCGGGTCTCCTGCATTGCAAACAGACGCTTTACCATCTGAGCCACCAGGGAAGCCCAGAAAGTCGATCAATGTTGTTGATCAATTACACAGGTTTGATATTGTGCTCATTTCTATATAATTCCAAACTGCGGTTTAAAATGTAAGAAGTGTCGATATGCTCACTACAGACATATTTAATTGTTTCATAAAGACTTGGAGTATAATAACTATACTACCCTGTTGTTTTCAGAGTATCAACCCTGTTTGGGCCCCTAGCACACAGTAAATGCCAAATAAGAGGATATGGTCATGATGATGACCATAGAGATATGTTTAAAAACCAAAAAATAAAAGAAACTTTATCTTTTACAAATCTTATAGAGCAGATATAATCTTTGAAAATGAGTAATTAATTTTAACTACACAAAAAATGCAATACTTAATTCCACCCTTAAAACAAGTATTTTTTTATATTTTGACTTAAACACATAATATATAAGTATGTATTTAAAAATTTCTTTGTGGGGAACTCTTACAAGGCCATCTGTACAAGCAGAACAGAGATCATCAGCAAAAGAAACACTTTGTTTTAATATTAACTTAGCAAGAGAAAATTCCACTATCAGAAATCAAGTTATTGTTAACTACCCCAACACTAGTAATTGCAGTACTGTGCTCAGTTCAGTTCAGTCACTCAGTCATGTCCGACTCTGTGACCCCATGAACCTCAGCATGCCAGGCCTCCCTGTCCATCACTAACTCCCGGAGCCAAAAAACTCATGTCCATTGAGTCAGTGATGCCATCCAACCATCTCATCCTCTGTCGTCCTGGAGTTTAGAAAACTCAGTTAAGAAATTAATGGCACATTTGATCAGAAACTACATTGTCTGTGATATCAACTTGAAATATTGTAAAATAGCAATGTTATGTTTGACTGAATCTCTGCTCAGTGACACAAAAACACAACCCTAACATTCTTCCTCTTTGCTTTCACAGAATTTAAGCTTCTCCATGAGGCAAAGCCACATGACCAGGCTAACAGATGACTATGAGTTGCCTTAATGCCTTTGGCATTCTAGCTATTATACTAAGCTTAGTATAACTAAGCATATAATTTAATAACATTTAATCCAATTGAACAATGAACATATTCAATACCACTTACCACAAATGATCACTAAATATATTAACATACATCTAAAATATTTCTGGAAAAACAAAGGCATTCTGAAACTCTTTTTCTCCTCAACTTAACCTAAATTCTTGGTATTTATCATTTAGCTTTTTGATTCCATCTTTTATAAATGACAATTGCAAGACTTCAAAGGACAAATTAGGATGGAAGGACTAGCCCTTTTTCTTGAGATACGAACTTCACATCAGCTTTGAATATATGAATGCACACTAATGGTGGTTACTAATAAGTCTTTATATCCTGCTCATGTGTGTATTTCTGAATAGCCCAATTCTTTTTTTTTTTTTTCCTTTTTTTGTATAGCTTATTGCTGCGGCAGCTGCTGCTACTGCTGCTGCTTAATCACTAAGTCATGTTTGACTCTTTTGTGACCCCATAGACTACAGCTTGCCATGGGATTTCCCAGGCAAGGATACTGGAATGGGTTGCCCTTTCCTTCTCCAGGGGATCTTCCCGACCCAGGGATTCTACCCATGTCTCCTCATTGGCAGGTGGATTCTTTATCACTGAGCCACCTGGGAAGCCCTGTATGGTTTATTACAGGGCATTAATAAATATAGTTCCAAGTGCTATATAGTAGGACCTTGCTATCTATCCATTCTATATATAATAGTGTGCATCTGCTAACCTTATAAGGCAAAATTATTATATAAAACTTAGCTTCCATCAAAGAAATCTCAGAAATAATTTCTGCAGGAGGCCAAGGAGTGTTCCACATGTATTTTGACATTGATCCCTGACCTATGATGTGACTAGATTTTTAAAAATATATAGCATTGACACAGGGATAGTCAAACTTACCTACAGAACAGAACAGCAATGGTAGAAATAAATCCATTCATAAATGAAAACCAGAAACAGTGATACTGCAGGTGATTGGGAGAGGACAGACCTGTCTGGAACGGTGCTTAGAAAAAAAAAAATGGGTTTTGGTGTGAAATAAAAATTTAACTGAGATTCTTATTCACATTATGCAGAAGAGCCAATTCCATACGCGTTTAAAGGCTGAAATGTGAAAAGCAATATTTACATTTTTAATGCTGAAGACAGTATCAAAAAATAGTTCATTGCTTGTACAAGGGGAAAGATTTCTTAAACAAGATATGGAAGCTACTAACAATAAAGTAAAAGACTGACACAAAGACACTAAAATGAAAAAACTACTAATCATCAGAAAACTGTGTCAAGAATGCAAAAACTAAGCCATAAATTAGAATATGATACTTTCAATATTTTCAATATAGTTATCTGACAGAAGATTAGGAAGCCAGCATACATAAAGAAGTCTTATCTAGCAAAAAGACAAATAATATAATTTTAAACAATGGGCAACCTACTGTATAGCACAGGGAACTCTGCTCAATGTTATGTGGCAGCCTGGATGGGAGGTGAGACTGGGAGAGAGTGGATACATGTATATGCATGGCTGAGTCCCTTTGCTGTCCACTTGAAACTAGCACAACATTGCTAATCAACTATAGTCCAATACAAAATAAAAAGGTTAATAAATTGTAAAAAAAAAAAAAAGTCAAATATACATACAAAAAATGGGCACTACACATGAAAAAAAATTTACAATGAAAGAAACAGAAGGAATCAAATCACAAGAATAGTATTAAAACACACTAGTCATTAAGATGAATGAATTATCTGTATCTATATATGTTAATTAAATCTATTATTACCAAGTGCTAGCAAGTTTGTGAACCAATATTAAGCACTCTGGTGGGAANCCAAGTGCTAGCAAGTTTGTGAACCAATATTAAGCACTCTGGTGGGAATATAAATTGATAACAACCACTTTGGAAAACAATTGAAAACTAACATAAATATTCATGAATCCAATGACTACAAATTCACTTTAGATACTTATAGGGAGAAATACTTATATGTTCAAAAAGAAACATTTAGAAGACTCTTTATAGCAGCATTGGAATAAGACAAAAAAAATTAAAAATCCAAGAAAATAATCCAAATGTTCACTAACAAGAGAATAGATATATACATAAAGAGAGATATATCTTACAATGTCTTACAATGTCTTGTAATTGTAATGGCTGTCTTACAATGTCTTGTAATGGTAATATTTTACAATGTCTTACAATGACATATCAAGCTGACCTTTAAAAAAACATAAAATACTGCCACATGCAACAACTATGTATTCCACTCAAATACATAGTGGAAAAAAAGTCTGGTCACCAAAGCTTACTTATATAGTAATGATGACAGCATTTTTGCAATCATTTTAGGAAATATCCTAATATTGTATTAGTAGACTATTGCACACATAACAAAATATAAAAATAAATTTTAAAAAATAACATTTTAGATTTACAAACATAAATCTTAATAACCATGGCTTGATAAGGTTGTAATAAATCATGTTGGTGGTCTTAACAAGAGGCTATACACAGGAAATCCTTATTCTTTTTATCTTGTAGACATAGCCTTGGTTGGCTTTTTGTTTGTACCATATACCCAAGTCCTTTATATAGGTTTCTGGACAATTTTCTGACTGAAAGTCAAATAGGACAGCTAACCCTGATCACAAATTCTGATAACTTTTGCATAGTAATTATGCATTTCAAACTAAAGATTATCCTGAAGACCAATTTCACATGTATGAGTGTTCAGAGAAAAATTTCTTTTGAAATACATGAATCTATTACCCTAAGTGCCATTAACTTAAGACTTCTTGCAGAGACTGCAGGAAAAGTAAGCTATTCAGTGGTCATTTTCTAAATATTACATGTAGCAGTGACCCTGGGATCCTTTGCCACAGAGATGGAGATGAACACCCACATATTGAAGGTAAGGGAGTTGGAGTACCCAAGTGTCAATGCCAGCAGGCAATGGCAAGTGAGTTGTTGCAATATTACCTGATGCTTTTTCTACTACAATTATTCTCTCTGGACACATTAAAAACAGCAGTATCTGTTTGCAAGATGAAGCATAATCAAAAGCTACCATCAGGTACAAACACTAGCCTAGCCCTTTATCACTAAGAAAGAGGTAAATAATCTCATTTCATCCTTTAAAGATACATTGCCAAAGGAAAAAATAAAGTTCTCTGCAATGAAAACAAAAGCTCTCTAATTTCTCTGATTTGTATTCCAAATTCATGGCTCTGACCTTTTCTTAAAACTTTAAGCATCACAAGGAAATCAGTGGGAAGGCAATCATGTGCTATCCAAATACTTAAAGGGCAGAAAAACTCACTGAAGTGAAAAAGGATTAGTAAAGGGTAGAAAAGAGGACTGGCCCCTCCCAGTTGGGGTGCACTGATTTGGGATTAGCTATCAGACAGAAAACCCACAAGCAATTAAAAGTTCTGACATCAGGGAACAAGCAAATATAAAACACTCAACTCTAAGCGAGGTTCAGCAGAGAATGCCTTCAGGAGTTCAAGGTACTGGAGAGAAACTCTATGGGGAGTGGGTGGATTTCCACCAAAACTCCATCAGAATATGGGGGACTTGAAGTCTTGGAAACTAACTTGCTAGAAATCTGCCCCCAATTCTTCTTTCAGCTCCATGGGTAAATGTAATTAATGGTGCTGACCTGTTAATGAATATTTTTGGTAAATGACATCCATGAGAAGTACTTTTTATATAAATAGAAATTAAAATGAAGAAAATTAAATGACTAGGACTGGGGATTTAATTACATAGATATTATACCTGTCAAATTTTTAAAGGTAAATTACTATTTTTATCATTTTTGTAATGTCATCTTACAGACATGAAAAGCATTTTGAAGGTGTGTTGGGAAGGGCCTCATGCCATTTATAATGGTACAAAAAAACTTGCATAATTTCATTTTGCTATTTTCTTTTCAGCTTGATTTTTACCTATGTGCCTCGGTCTCTACACAGAGGGCTGCAACCCAGAAGCTGTCCTGCATTCTTGCTTCAAGCAGAATGAAATCTACACTCCTCTCTCTGGGTTACACGTTCCTGGTCCTGCGTTTTTTCCAGCAGGCCCGGGCTCAGTTCCCAAGAGAGTGCGCCACCACCGAGGCTCTGAGGAATGGGGTGTGCTGCCCAGACCTGTCCCCACTGTCTGGGCCCGGGTCTGACCGCTGCGGTTTCTCATCAGGGAGGGGCAGATGTGAGGTGGTGACCGCCGACTCCCGGCCCCACAGCCCCCAGTACCCGCACGATGGCAGAGATGACCGAGAGGGCTGGCCCACACGCTTCTTCAACAGGACATGCCAGTGCAACGGCAATTTCTCAGGACACAACTGTGGAACCTGCCGCCCTGGCTGGGGAGGGGCTGCCTGTGACCAGAGTGTTCTCACAGGTAAGTGGAGACTGAACATGCACAGTCCTGCATGGAACTCAACACATTCAATATTGTAGACCTTTGAATCAGTTGAGGTTTAAGAACTCCTAGATACCATAAAGCTTAAGCCTTACTTTTCATAGCTGAGGAAACTGAGGCTTAGAGAAGCTAAGAAATGTATTTAAGGAGTTGAAGTTGAAGCTCAGGTCTTCTAACTAATAACATTTCTTTTCAAAAGATTTGTTGAGCGATGCCTTTATAACAGGAACAATGCTAGATGTTTATGACCAGACCTTTCAGTAACTTTGCAAGGTAGTTAGGTTAATTGTAAATACATATTGGAGCTCAGAAAGGTCAACGCCATGTAACTGGTATGTGGGAAACCTGGAGTTCACACTGAGATCTGTCCAGCTCTAATCCGTAAGCTTCTTGCACAGCCCTTGCTGACCACAAAGACGTTTCCCACTCTGATGGTCAAGTTCAGCCATTCTACAGGGTGAGCCTGGCCTGCAGCCTAAACAATAAATGACAGAGATTTAAATAGTAGCAGCCGGCAATACTGGATTGTTCTATTTGTGCCAAACATGAGACCAAGAGTTTCACAGAACCCTTACTGAGCTTTCTGTTTTAAATTTACATTATTGTGTTAGTTTCAGGTGGAATGCAAAGTGATTCAGTTATACATATCTATTTCTTTCAGATCTTTCCCTTAGAGATTATTAGAAAAGATTGAGTATGACTTCCCATACTATACAGTATATATTTGTTGGTTATCTATTTCATATATAGTAGTGTGTACATGTTAGTCCCAGACTTCTAATTTATCCCTCCCACCTACCCCTTTGGTAGTCATAAATTTGTCCTCTATGTCTGTGGTGAGTCTTGATTATGAACCAGGCTCTGATCCAAGTGCTTTTTATGTGTGTCCTCTTTAATCGTTACAATTCTATAAAGCAGGCATTTCTACACATACTTTACAGATGAAAAACTGATGCTTAGAGAAATATATGCCAAGTAACAGAATTAGACTCTGGTCCTAACCACTATGCTAAACCACGTACTATGTATTTGCAAAATTTATGGTATTAAAAGGTAGAAAATGACAAGAAATATGCAAATAGTGAGCAGAAATCTACAACAAGATCATAGAATCATAAAGTCCATGGTAAGATTAAGGAAAGCTCTTACTCTGTATAGAGTAAGTTGGAGAAAGAGGGAGGAGATCAGAGAGAGAAAGCAGACATGAAGAAGGGATTTTAACGAAGGATGTTTTTAAAGTTTAAAATGATGTGAGCACAGATGCAAACTATCATTCAGGGCTAAGTGGGACATGGGGTTAGAAGATGATTGAGTATTCTCTATCCATGCTCACATGGCAGATGCTTTCACATTTGAATTTTGTGTCCCTAAAGTCAGGAGAAACCTACTGGACTTAAGTACAGAAGAAAAGAACCGCTTTGTCCGGGCTCTGGATATGGCGAAGCGCACCACTCACCCTCACTTTGTCATTGCCACCAGGAGGTCAGAAGAAATATTGGGGCCAGATGGCAACACACCGCAGTTTGAGAACATTTCCATTTATAACTACTTTGTTTGGACACATTACTACTCAGTCAAAAAGACTTTCCTGGGAGCAGGACAGGAAAGCTTTGGTGAAGTGGATTTCTCTCATGAGGGACCAGCATTTCTCACCTGGCACAGGTACCACCTGCTGCAGCTGGAGAGAGACATGCAGGTATGCATGAGGCATGGCCACATTCATGTCCTTTACAAACAGGGCAACTTGTTTGTAAGTCATTCATTCACTGTGTCCCAAATGATCAAAGTAGGCGATGACAAAGCGATTTCACGTTATTAACCTGCCTTTGGCGTTCTGTTAAGTCTCTCCCTATGCTAATCACTTCCTTATTAATTAATCTTTATCCTTTTCGAGGTGAAAAGAAAGTCACATCAATGGTCAGGAAGCCAAATGAGGTATTTGTAGGTGTGAATTAAAGCACTGGACATAGTCTACAGCTCTGTCATTGAAAAAATGACCCTCATATAGTTTGCAATATAGGACTCTGATTTGATCTGTCTCCCTTCTGAAATGTAAACCAATAGCCCCTCCTGGTTTGAACGAGGAAAGTGTATATGACTTTTCAGTTTTCTAAGTTCCAAATGTATAGCTCATTTTATAAGTTGATGATTTTATATGATATATATAGGGTTTAAACTACAAAAATAATGCTTTTCATTTAAATTGGCATATTCTAATTGAACTCCTGTGTTTCCATATTCTCTACCACTTTGAGGCTTACAGCAGAAACCTACTAACAATATCCACTAGGTCAGACATCATTTTAATCTAAAGACATTGGCTTTTTTAGAATGAAGTGAACATAAACAGTTATTTCCAGTTTATTTTTAATCAGATAAACTAAAATCACATTAAAGTAGCTGTTAAGATACTTTCTTATTGTCTCTTTTACTATTTGTTCTATTTTAAGAAAAGCATTGTCATTTTCAAACGACTTTAAATTTTTTTCATTATTGAAGTACAGCTGATTTCGACATTGTATTAATTTCTGCTATACAGCAACATGATTCAGTTATATTGGTTTGGCCAAAAATTTTGGTTGGGTTTTTTAGTAAGATGTTATAGACAAAACCACACAAATGGTTTGACCATCCTAACATATATCTATGCTCTTTTTTATATTTTTTTCCATTATGGTGTAGGGTATTGAATATAGGTCTCTGTGCTACACAGTAGGACTCTGTTTTTACCCATTTCATATATAATAGTTTACTACTGTCAATTACAAACTAATTCTTAACCCCTTTAATAGTCTTAGAACTCAACTAGGAAATCGACAAGTTGAATTTGTTTTCTAGGTGAAATAAGAGCAATAATTCCCTCCTCACAAATTAAACTCTAAAAATATCTGAGGGCAGGAAAAAATATCTGAGGGCAGACTCAAGTATTGATTTGCAGTACGCTTAGGCCCAGCATTATCCAAGAAAATAAATGGTTAGAAGGGAGAGATTTAAAGCACTAAAATACAGAAAAAAATATTCATATGTACGTAGCCCATCCGTATGCAGTTTGAGAGTGATTAAATGAACTCAGCTGCTACTCTGAACTTCATATTTTATAGCTCTGATTTCACATAAGACATTTAGTAGATTATGAGTAGATAAATCTGTCATTTGTAATCAACTCCAGATCTTCTTGCCTTCAAGTCATTTTCCCACGAGTGCATCAAAATGAAAGGGCAGGTGGAAAGTATCTAAAAGCTTCAATTGTGCCTGTGTAAACTTCAACCTCTATGACTTACATTTTTAAAACCCAACTGCACAAGGGATCCAACAAATTATAATCTAAATGTAATGCACAGTTGAAATGCCACATGAATATGTTCCAGCTCCCAAATGCCAGTTGCTGAACCACAAACTGACTCTTAATGATCCCTTAGAAGCTGTCACTAATCTTTGTGAACCAGAACAATGACTGCTCAACAAGGCCTCTAAAGCCCTGGAGATCAATAACGAGGGATGCACTGGAAAGCTTTTGACCCTCTAAAATACCCCAAGGACAAGGAAATGCTTCCTAGAAAGGGTTTAAGAGTAAAAAAGCAGAAAAGTACTAAATGTTTGCAAGGTGAGATTAAACAATGGCAATCCCTACATTTATCCCACACTCTAAATATAGTTCCCCAAAGGCCTAAAGGAATGAGAAATAATAAGTACAATAAATATATCTTTAAAGGAACCCAATAAAATAAGCATGTGATCTTGAGTCCAGCATTTTTTATTTGTTGAGATCAGCTCTAAATGGGAACTAGGTCCCTGGTCTAAAGAACAGCATGCTCAGAAAAATATTCAGCTTCTGTTAAGCATTTCCTGTCTATATTGGTTTCTGGCAAAGGCCTGAGTCTTCATAGTTTAGATTCTGAAGCAGAGGTCTCTAAGTAAAATACCAGGCAGATAAGGCTAATTTGAAAGAAGCCTCTGTAGTGTGTGGCCAAAATAGAATCTAATGCCTAAAGTCGACTCAGTTAAATTAAAAAACAGAAATGAAATAAAAAGCACTGCTTCACATAATATATCTCAAGGCTGGGTCTAGCTCCAGACAAGAGTTCATGGTGCTCCAATTAGAGGTAGGAAAATGGAAGGAAGTGAAAATGTCAAAGAGTAGAAGTTATTGTTGATGATTTTTAGTATAGCCAACTTGCCTGAAAAAGAAGAGACAACTCTCCAAAGCATTTGCAGAAACTTCTGTGTAATGAATTGAGTTTCACTCCCTCTAGTGCCTAAGTGACTTCTTGTAGTAAATCAAGAGCTTTGTTAAATAAGGTATCTAAGTCCGCTAGCCCTGCAGACACCACTGACACTAACTGGTTCCCAAGTAGCTGAGAAAACTAATAGTAGCAGACTGCCAGGGAGTAAACCAAGAAAGGGAGAATTTTAAACAAAAGCTGAGAATGCTAACAGAGTTTCTGTGATCCAGGAAATGTTGCAGGATCCTTCTTTCTCCCTCCCTTACTGGAATTTTGCCACTGGGAAGAACACCTGCGACATTTGCACCGATGACTTGATGGGATCAAGAAGCAACTTTGATTCCACTCTTATAAGCCCGAACTCTGTCTTTTCTCAATGGCGAGTAGTCTGCGAATCCTTGGAAGATTATGATACCCTGGGAACTCTTTGCAACAGTAAGTTCCAAATGACAACTAGGATTTGGAATTCCCTATTAGATAAACAGATTAAATGTGCTGCCAGAAGGCCCTTCATTTATTAAGGACTTCAGACTAAAGTTCACTTTTATTATAGAGAATGGATGAACAGATATTCACTAAGTACCTAGGATAGTCCAGGCAATCTGGGGTGCTCCAGGGAAAAAAGAAAGTGCCTATACATTTTTCCATTGCTTTTTCTGAACAACTTGGTTGGTGCATTGCTTGCTTTCTTATTTGGGAAATGTCTATTTGTACTAGTTAATCCTCTTAGTAAGCCCAGCGCTGCTTTGTGGTCATGTGTCTTGTGCTGGAATTTCACAAAAATGTGTCCCTAGGAAGTGTGAAATCTGCAGAAAGAGATGGAAGTACCTTGGGAGTAAAAAATACACATTTAATAATAATAATTGTTGTGTAAGGGTTACTATTGTTTTGTTATTATATTATTTTTACTATTATGTCACTTTGATTTCCAACCTTCTGACTTAAGATTAACAAAGAGAATGCTTAACCAACTGTCCTACTGTCCTTTCTCCAGTGGTCTGAATGCCCTCTGCCATAGGTCATGTTTCTGTCTTTTGTGGAACAGTTCCTGTGAAGCTGTCTGTTCTCTTCCTTGGATCTTATCTTTACCATCTCCCTTGATATTAACACAAGGTCTTAATTATCAGAGTCTTTCTATCTCACTTTGTTTTTCTTCTTCAGACATGTCTAAATATTTTGAATTTTTGTTCTTCCCTATTAAAAACTAGAATTATTGAGATTTATTTTTTTCATTATTGTACTCATAACATTTATTCTGCACATATTTTTAAGCACCAAATATTAAATTACATTGTAAACTTAGAATATTTTAAATAGAACAACAAAATTAAGTAGATTTTTTTACCATTATTTAGCTGTATATAGGAATAAGAGAAGTAACCATATATAAAACTTTATCCTATATAAGTATAAAATTAGAATTTTTATTTGATGAAATGAGGTGAAATTGAGGATTGGTGTATATTTAGGTACCAAAACATTCATCTTTCCCTGTGATTTTTTTTTTTTTTTAATTTGCTTGCACATGGACAACTTCTGTCATTGCACCTAGGAACTTACTATGGATTAAAGTCCTGTGGGATTGCCATGCAGGAATGAATGAAAAGTTCAGAGTGTCTGAAGTAGAAAGTAGATTTGAGAAGTATTGTGAAGGAAAAGAGCATGTCTTTCATATGATGAATCAAAAACAGTTTAGTGGCTGGATAGTTTAGTGGCTGGAAGAATATCAGGTGTCAATAAATAACTCTTTGGTGGTGGTTTAGTCACTAAGTCATGTCCAACTCTTGCGACCCCATGGACAGAGAAGCCTGATTCTCTGTCCACGGGACAACTCCAGGCAAGAATACTGGAGTGGGTTGCCACTTCCTTCTCCAAAATAACTCGTTAGTGTACCGAATTTGGTGCATTCGTGGTAAAAGGAGAGAGACCGTCTAGAAAGCATATGAGAACATAAGCATGGAAGCTTCGCTCTAAAGATGTACATGTATGCGTGTCCTGTAAAAGATGATCAGTGAAACCACAGGGATGGATAATTTTATCAGAGAAGAAAAGTAGAGGGAGGAAAGAATTATCATGAGGATTAAATATTTTATCAAAGCATTTGGCATCATATCAGACACATTAATGGGTGTTCAATAAAACGTTATTTTTCCTTTGTTCTTTCATGGGCCTAATAAATAAAATAGTTCTGGTCTAACTTCCTATATCTCCTGCCATCAACTACCCTCTTCCATTGCCACATACTCCAGGCTAGCTGTTCACCTAACAGGCTCTCTCATACAAATCAACCTTATCTTTTCATAAGTCAACATACACCAAACAACTATTTAGCTTCAATTATATGCCATCTACTGGATCAAAACTGGAGGACATACTGGTGATTAAGAACAGTTTGTGCTCTAATGGGGCTTATATTATGCACAGAAAAAACCTGTCATCCTTTATTATTATCTCTGCTTAAAAATGCTTGACTTGTAAATTTTTTCTTATTTCACCTCTGGCAATTTTCCTCAGATCTTCAGGACTCTGCAAATCTGTCTACCCAATGAAATCTTCCTAAAGCTGTCCAATTGGGAAGAATTAGTATTCTCTCTCTTTTTTTTCTCTCTCTCTCCTTCTGTCCTTCCCTCCTTTCCCTATTTCTTTCTCTCCCTGCCTATCTCCCCAAAGGCATCTTTATATTCCTAGGGATATATATTATCCCTAGTATAGCAGCCCTTTGTTTACCTGTTTATCTTACTGACCTTCAAAACTTTTATTTTTCACATTAATTGCTGAAAAGTATGTGTTGATTGAAATATAGATCACTTCCCAAAGAGAGTTAAGGTTGTTTTAACATTATTTCTTTGAAAGCTTGAAACAAACAACATTCAAGACCAAAATTCCATGTAAGTGTGAAATATGGATTTCAGTGTAGAATTTTGGTTTATGAGATTATATTCACAAAATTTAATCTTACACGGAACTTCTGTTTTAATGTGTTCTCTTGAAAAAAGAGATTTAACATATACTGATATGCTAATAACATTATACTGATTTAACAAATACAAGGACCTCTGTTTTTACGATCATCTTTTTCTTCAGATGATTCTGTGTATCACATATTTTCCCTATGCACAGAAGTTGGACATGATAACCTAGGTTTTATCACTTTAATACCACAGAATATGCATTAAAAAATTTTTCTCTTCTACAAAGGAAAACCTGTCTTTCTGTGTTCAAGACCCCATGTATACAAATTTAATAAGGAAAGCTAAGATCTCTAGATATTCCATACGTGTTAACATACCCCATCTTTTTCCCAGGCACTGAGGGTGGGCCAATTAAGAGAAACCCTGCTGGAAATGTGGCCAGACCAATGGTGCAACGTCTTCCTGAACCACAGGATGTCGCTCAGTGCTTGGAAGTTGGTTCATTTGACACACCTCCTTTTTATTCTAACTCTACAAACAGCTTCCGAAACACAGTGGAAGGCAAGTAAACAAATCCAGTGCTCTGAAATGATCTAGTTGTCACTGGAAAAATTCAAGTGCTCAAATTAAATCTCTTTAAAAAAAAAAAAACCTTTGAATGTCATATGGATCCTGTGAGTTTATATGAATAGGGCTGCCTATCATGATATAGTCACAGTCCTCTGCCCAATAGAAGAACTTTCTTAAGAAAAGTGTAGGCCCTGAAACTTTTTATCACAGGAAAATCCCTTGGAAAGGATCCTCCATTTTCTTAAAATACCTAAAAGGTATTTAAACTCAAATTTCTGTTAGATGGCTGGCCAATATGGGTATAACTATATCAAATTCTACTGTAGGCAAATAATATTCAAGACTTGGAGATATTAATTTTTTTCTTAAAAAAAAAAGTCCTGAACATCCAATAGTTGACATCAAATAAAAAGTCTGCTTTGGGTGTACGTATTATTGAGGTATCATCCTGAAAGTTTTTTTAAGATCTATCAAAAATCAAACTAACATCTAGAGATATTTAATTTGATTTTCTTTAAATAATTCAAGTATTTTAAAGTTGAGAGATCAAGTCCAAAGAAGTGAAAAGATATCCAGCTAGTTAGTAACAGAGCACAGATTCAAATCAAAAATTTCTAAGTCCTCTAAAAATTTTATGTCATTTATAATTATTTTATAAAAAACTTTTATACCTCTAAATTATTCACAACACATTAAAGTCTTAAAAGAACAGAATCAGGTTTAACTTTATTATAAACTTGTTCTTGTCAAATTTTACCTTAAATACAGTATTGTACATGTTAGACCACCCTCCCCTCCAATCAAAAAAGGGAATAGATCTCTCTTTACCTTGATCTAAGATACTTGATATATAGATATGATAATTAATTTCAATTATCTCCCTTTTTATCATCAAAATTAGGTGCCATTCTTTCCTATCTTTATGTGAATTTTAATAACTACATATGAATACACTGACTTGGAGTTTCCTCAATAATCACCATATTTTGATTAAGCTGGTATTTTTATAAACTAATGCTGTAAGTAGTGATTCTGTAAAGAATGTAAGAATATGAGTGTATTTTATTGGTGCCCAATCAAAAGACAAATTATACTGATTTCCAGACAGAATGTACAAAAAGGTTAGCGCCTAACATGTACAATGTAATCAATCTTTAAATGTTTTATAAGTCAAAAAATAATGGAATAAACATATAAAAAAGAATAATGAATAAATGAATGAGTAGTTATAATTACACTACTGACTTAATGCATTTCAAATTCTAATATTGCTTTTATAATACACAGGCATACCCTGCTCTCCCACCTCTGGTCTTCAAGCTAACTGCACACTCATAACTCCATCCCACATCAGAGATTCCCTACTTTGGTTTGTGATCTATCCATGTCTTCTCCCTAATATACTTACATGAACAATATGTGATGAGAGTATATATGGGAAGTATATGTATTATACATGACATATATACTATATGAGAAATGTATATATTATATGTAATAGGTATGCAATATGTGCGTTATATATAAATGGGGATATGTATAATGCATGGCTTCCCAGGTGGTAAAGAATCTTCCCAGTGGTAAAGAATCTGTCTGCCAACACAGGAGACATGGGAGGCACAGGTTTAATTCCTAGGTCAGGAAGATTCCCTCAAGAAGAAAATGTCAACCCACTCTAGTATGTTTGCCTGGACAATCCCATGGACAGAGGAACCTGGAGGGCTACCATCCATGGGGGTCTCAAAGAGTCAGATGCAACTGAGCATACATGCACATAAACGAAACACACATGAAATACATGTAGTGCATAATATGGAAATGTTTTTGGAGAAGATATAAATATATAAATGTGTGTGTATATATATAGAATAGAGAGCATTCTCAAAAGTTCTATAAATGTTTTGACAGCAGTCTTTTCAGATATTTAAAACTAGTACAGAGATGATAAAAAATAAAAGCTCTGAGAAATTCTAACTTCTCCACAGAAATAATTTTCTAAAAATACACATGCTGACAGTCTGAAGGAGTAAGGCAGGAGACTAAAGTAACATCTGGCAATTTAGGTTCAGGGCAATCAGAGCAGTGTTCTCCCAATTGTATCAGCAGTTTTTATAGAAGCTAGAGATTTCCACTGTCTTTATCTCCATGTAGACCAATGTTAGCCTTGTCAAAATAGAGTGCTGTATATATTTTGACTGGTATCCTTTGGAGGTCATTATTTTTAACCTAGAGGCTACACTTAGAATGTCATGCCACTAGCTTCAAACTAACCTAGCTCTTACTACAGCAAACAAATGTCACCACCCATAGGTACAGAGAAGCAGTGCTATTACACTAAGGTAAAAACTGGCCTGACAAGCTCAGGAAAAAATTGTTTCCCAATATAATTACTGCTTTGGACTTAAAAAGTCAGATATTTATAATGGATTTTATTATTCTCTTCTTTATTTTTATATCTAGGTTACAGTGATCCCACAGGAAGGTATGACCCTGCTGTGCGAAGCCTTCACAATTTGGCTCATCTATTCCTGAATGGAACAGGGGGACAAACTCATTTATCTCCCAATGATCCTATTTTTGTCCTCCTACATACATTCACTGATGCAGTATTTGATGAATGGCTGAGGCGATACAATGCTGGTATTTATAAACTAATGCTGTAAGTAGTGATTCTGTAAAGAATGTAAGAATATGAGTGTATTTTATTGGTGCCCAATCAAAAGACAAATTATACTGATTTCCAGACAGAATGTACAAAAAGGTTAGCGCCTACCATGTACAATGTAAGCAATCTTTAAATGTTTTATAAGTCAAAAAATAATGGAATAAACATATAAAAAAGAATAATGAATAAATGAATGAGTAGTTATAATTACACTACTGACTTAATGCATTTCAAATTCTAATATTGCTTTTATAATACACAGGCATACCCTGCTCTCCCACCTCTGGTCTTCAAGCTAACTGCACACTCATAACTCCATCCCACATCAGAGATTCCCTACTTTGGTTTGTGATCTATCCATGTCTTCTCCCTAATATACTTACATGAACAATATGTGATGAGAGTATATATGGGAAGTATATGTATTATACATGACATATATACTATATGAGAAATGTATATATTATATGTAATAGGTATGCAATATGTGCGTTATATATAAATGGGGATATGTATAATGCACGGCTTCCCAGGTGGTAAAGAATCTTCCCAGTGGTAAAGAATCTGTCTGCCAACACAGGAGACATGGGAGGCACAGGTTTAATTCCTAGGTCAGGAAGATTCCCTCAAGAAGAAAATGGCAACCCACTCTAGTATGTTTGCCTGGACAATCCCATGGACAGAGGAACCTGGAGGGCTACCATCCATGGGGGTCTCAAAGAGTCAGATGCAACTGAGCATACATGCACATAAACGAAACACACATGAAATACATGTAGTGCATAATATGGAAATGTTTTTGGAGAAGATATAAATATATAAATGTGTGTGTATATATATAGAATAGAGAGCATTCTAAAAAGTTCTATAAATGTTTTGACAGCAGTCTTTTCAGATATTTAAAACTAGTACAGAGATGATAAAAAATAAAAGCTCTGAGAAATTCTAACTTCTCCACAGAAATAATTTTCTAAAAATACACATGCTGACAGTCTGAAGGAGTAAGGCAGGAGACTAAAGTAACATCTGGCAATTTAGGTTCAGGGCAATCAGAGCAGTGTTCTCCCAATTGTATCAGCAGTTTTTATAGAAGCTAGAGATTTCCACTGTCTTTATCTCCATGTAGACCAATGTTAGCCTTGTCAAAATAGAGTGCTGTATATATTTTGACTGGTATCCTTTGGAGGTCATTATTTTTAACCTAGAGGCTACACTTAGAATGTCATGCCACTAGCTTCAAACTAACCTAGCTCTTACTACAGCAAACAAATGTCACCACCCATAGGTACAGAGAAGCAGTGCTATTACACTAAGGTAAAAACTGGCCTGACAAGCTCAGGAAAAAATTGTTTCCCAATATAATTACTGCTTTGGACTTAAAAAGTCAGATATTTATAATGGATTTTATTATTCTCTTCTTTATTTTTATATCTAGGTTACAGTGATCCCACAGGAAGGTATGACCCTGCTGTGCGAAGCCTTCACAATTTGGCTCATCTATTCCTGAATGGAACAGGGGGACAAACTCATTTATCTCCCAATGATCCTATTTTTGTCCTCCTACATACATTCACTGATGCAGTATTTGATGAATGGCTGAGGCGATACAATGCTGGTAAGACTCTTTCACATGCTTTTTGCAAACTCAGCAAACAAGACTGTTAGATGGCATAGTTATCACTTTAGTCTAAGAACTTGACATATTTAAACTACGCTTTACAATAGGATAAAATAATTCTAATATTTAGCTATTTCCAAATATTTTAAACCACTCTGAAAAGGCAGATAAGAAGTCTCTCAGTAGAGTAATAAAAAGATGACTTATTAATATCCACTAGGACGAAAAACTAATCCCTTCACCTCTTTACCATGTAAAGATGACTACCATGTTTCCCCAATTTTTCTTTCTCATATCTTCCAATGAACATCCTCATTACTTTTCGTATGGATGTGAAAACCTGAAAGAGCTCTTCTTTGATACCCCAAAGACAGAAAAATTATACTCATAAACCACAGTTCTGATTTTTATTACTTTACAGCCTCTCACAAATGGAAATTTTATTCAACTTGAAAAGTTAATGCTGGTTTTTATATCATACCATAGAACATCTCTTTTAAGTTCACTTTAATGCATTCTTTAAAATGCTATTTAGAGGCTACTTTCTCTTCACTCAGCTGAGAGGGTTATATTACTATTCAAACTATGGATGTGCTTTTACTGGTTAAAACATCATAAATTTTCACATTTAAAAGTGTTCTAAATTTTGGCTCATGTACCTTTATCTCATCAAGGACATATACATAATATTGGAGATTATCTACTGATTCATTTATTCATTCAGCCACCTCTTACTTCTATTGCTCGTGTGTATGTGTGTGTATGTGCTTGTGAGAGAGAGAGAAAATACAGTAGTAGATTCTAATCTAACCTGATTTGGACTATTAATTGATGAGTTGGTCAAAAGAGTTTGTTTCAACTGAAAACCATTTAAGAAATAAATAGCCTAAATATAAATATTTATCTACTTATTAATCTTCTGTGAAGTCATTGTTTGGAGTTCCACCTGATTTTTCATGTGTATTTATATACATACATGCAACCATAATGAATTATCTGTAATTTGCATTGTCTGTTTCTTTAAAGTGAAACAAGAAATCCACAACCCTTGTGATGCTGAGTACAGTATTATCCTAAAATTTTCAGTTGCCCACTCCTAATTCTATAGCAGTGTTATAGCCATTCGCTCTTATAAATCTTTCCAAAGCAGTCCATTTATTTATTATGAAAACATCCTTCTCTTTTTATATTTACAACTATCAGTTTATGCATGTTTTATTATACTACTTTTATTTTAATAACAATTAACTCGAATTAATAGGTTTATGGATGAACAAAACACATTTTTATTAGACATGTACTTCTGATAACTAGATAGCAATGTATAAGCTGACAACAAGCATATGTAAATAGATACAGTGTATGGGGGAGAGATTCTTTGTAGACAAGTGATATTAGGAAAGGGGCTAGGGAGGACTGTGTAAATAGATAAAGAAAGATGGTCCTAAGAAAGGAACAAAGGAGCCACAGTTGCTGGAGCAGAGTAGGGAGGGGGATGAAAAATGGAGGGAGATGACAAGGTCAGAGGAAACACTGGAGCAGATCCTTAAAGGCATGGGATTTAACTCTGAGAGATGGGGAGCCATGGAAGGATCTGATATAGGGAAGTAACACTGCAATGCAATTGTTACTTTTATTAGTCTTCTTTTCCTCCATTTATTTTAATGGACACAAATTTTTGATGCAGCTGAAACAACTGAGTTGAGGCTGATTCAGTAAAGAAAAAATAGGAAGCCTAAAAAATTATCTGTTATTAGCTTTAATATCTAACTTTAATAAATAATTAGTATGAGTGCTTTGAGGTCAGGAATCCTATCTTTGGTTCAATGCTATAGCTCATGTGCCTAGGTCAGTGCCTGGCATGAGGAGGAACACAATAGACTTTAATGGATACATACTTAATCATCATTAATTCAGAGTACATTTGAAATCATTTAATTTTAAAGTAATTAAATTTAAGGTTACAAAAATATAAACACTACCTGCCATTTCTATGATCAATGTTTCTTTAGAGTAGATGTTAAAAAACTTTCCTATGCTTCACAGTATTGCAGTGACTGTCCAGGTAATATACTTCTTGCAATCAGAAAACCTAATACTTAACTAGCCTTCTCACATATTTCAGCTCTTCTAAACATATTCCCACTAATGTCTTGCCCAAACCCACTTCCAATTCTGGTTTTGTGACATTTCACTTAGCATTTAATTATACCAACATAAATATAAACAACAACAATAAAGAAAGATTTTTTGCCACAAAGAGCATCACTCCTTTTATCTCTGATAACAAAAACGCACTAATAACATAAATGCCTATGATTTGTATTTAAGTAGAAAGATGAAAGGTAGCAAGAAACAAATAGTATTATAGGACATTGATTCAAAATATTAAATGCTTTTTGATAACAGAGTAAGAACCCAGGGAATAAGCTCACATTTATTGCTCTAATTAAACAGAAAAAATGAAAAGTGCTAAACAGAAATATGCATAGTCAAGGACAAACCTCCATCAGATACACTGCCTCCTAAATTTAAACAATAGATGATGCTACAGCAAATTACAGGTTCCATCTTTCTTTAGCTTTGAAAAGTAAGTTTAATGAATTTTACTGAAAATAATCTCTGTAATTTAAAAGTAAAACAACTAGTGATTATCATAGATAAGAAAATACTAAAACTTTCTTACTTCTAAACTTTCTTTTTATATTGGATGACATGGTACTATTGTACTCAAAGCGTTTGAGCTCTGCTTCATGCAATTCCCAATTCTGCTGTCATAATTTTTTATGTTGTTATTCAGTATAAAATATGAAAGAACTTTTATTGTTATCCTTGAACATTTTAAGTCACCTTCAGAACATAATAATATATTAATACAACCTGATTATGTCTATTAACAAGGTGTCTTTGACATATTTTAGATATATCCACATTTCCACTGGAAAATGCCCCTATTGGACATAACAGACAATACAATATGGTACCATTTTGGCCTCCAATTACCAACATAGAAATGTTTGTTACTGCTACAGACAACCTGGGCTATACTTACGAAGTTCAATGGCCAAGTGAGTACTGAAAATGTATTTTTACTGTGGAAATTTCCAAATCAAACTTGTTACCTTTAAAGTAATCTCAGTTTTCTGAGATAAAGTAACCCACAGCTTTCACTATGATTAAATAGTTTCATTTGAATTTTTATTTGGGGATAAAGAGAATGAATTTAAAATTTGTTGGGACCCCATTCTGACCTGGTTGAGCTGGTTACAAAGCACACTATTTCATTTAATACTTACAACCCTCTGAGGAAGGTATTAAAATCCTCATTTTACAAATAAGGAAGATGGGATGAGAGTAATTACCAAAGATCACCTTCCTAGAAGCACAGAGAATGAATTTTGACCTTAGCTCTGTAAAATATGCCCTGTGTAATATACTCTTATTTTTCTACTACATGAATGTGCTTCCAGTTGTTTATCTTAAAAGAGATGAAATGAGACACTCTGAGCTGTTTTTTGAGAGGTTGTGAAATTCAAAATCTCCTGGTTTAATTTTAAATCCTTTTCTTAACCAAGGCAATGGGGTACAGTGGAGGAGCACAGGATTTGGATCCTGAAAGATCTGGGCTCCAAAACCAGCTCCACCGCCTACTAACCNATTCAAAATCTCCTGGTTTAATTTTAAATCCTTTTCTTAACCAAGGCAATGGGGTACAGTGGAGGAGCACAGGATTTGGATCCTGAAAGATCTGGGCTCCAAAACCAGCTCCACCGCCTACTAACCAAATGACCTTGGGCAAGTGATTTAAACACTAAGCCATCATCTCCTCACCTTCAGAACAGATAATAACTATCCCAATAGGATGCAGTCATTATGAGAAATTGGGGAGTGCTTTGAAGATGCCAGGTGCTATAAAAGGCAATGTGGCCAATAAAAATTAAATACGAGGATTTTTGTCAAGTGCCTGGAACAATGCCTACATTTAGGGTATCCAATTTTGGCAATGATTTTACTATTTATTTTTTGCTAGTCAGACATGAGTGAGCAACTTTCACTTTAAAATGGTAGGTTGTACCAATTCCATGGTATTTAAACAAATATGAAGATTTGGGGCATGTTTTAAAATTTTAAAGATCAACAAAATGACAATCTAAATAAGTTGCTGTTTATATTGTAAAGAAAAACCATGATTAATAGTAAACTGATTAAAATACATGAGTAGGACACAAGTGGACTTATTTATGAAGCAGAAACAGACTCACAGACCTAGAAAACAAACATAGTCACCAAAGCGGGAAGGGGACAGGGAAAGGGTACATTAGGAGTTGCAATTAACAGACACCAACTACCATATAAAAAACCAGATAAACAACAGGGTCCTACTGTATAGCATGGGGAACTATACTTAATATCCTATAATAAACTATGATGGAAAAGAATATGAAAAATAATATATGTATATAACTGAATCACTTTGCTGTAGACCAGAAACTAACACTATAAGTAAACTATACTTCAATAAAAGCTTTTTAAAAAATGACTTGGCATTTCTACAATGTTAAGATGTAAATACATTTCCATTCCTTGGCAGTGCCCATCACATATAAAGGAAACTACATTTGTAGTTTAAATTAATCATGTGACATTATAAATGGGATCCTAATTAACTTTTTAAAATTGATCTTCCTCTTAAGGTTCAAGGCCACAGCAAAATCACAATCTTTGTCACATTTTGGAGAGGTAAAAGCTTTACTTTGTAAAAAGAAAGTTAATAGTGCCTGTACTAGAACTGTGTTCTTCTATCTATTCAATGACAAAAGAACTACCCATCCATGTTTCACCTCCCACTTCCTCTTAGAGGCCCACAAGGAGGCACAAAGGTAGAGAAAATGCATCATTGTGCTCTACAAGTAACATCAGTTCATTTTGTTTGATTCAAATATCACTGTCTCTCATTTAGCAGCCTGCTATATATTTTCAAAAAAATATTACTCCACAAGTCCCTCATTGTACAATTCCGCGAGAATGTCATTTGTTAATTTCTTCCTATCTTTTAACAAAATATTTTTTCTCTTTTTGATCTTGTATTACCAAAATTATATTCCCAATGAAGAGCTCTTATAGGCTAGTTATAAAGGGCAAACATTTTAATTAAAATGAAATTTTAAAGAGAAATTATATCAATAATAATCAGGCACTATAGAAAATAGGTAGTCTGACATTCCCATCTCAATAAACAGACACAAGACTAAAATTATATACATCTGATTGTTTGTTGTTTTTCCCTATATTAAACAATCTTCAGGCTATGTATACAAGATATTCAAAATGTGTTAGCAAAAGAGAATGTATATAATAATAGCATTGTTCTAACTTTCAAAGAGCATTACTCAGTTGGTCCCTGCAAATACGTTTTGACTTATTAAAACACTATATATGCAAAGCTTTTCAGAAAATGATTTTATAATGTAAGATTTATTAATATTTTATATAAACATCAATGAAACTGAATTCTTCACTTCATATTTTTGGAGCTTTATTGAGTACTCATTTATAGACATGTATTAAGCACACACTATGGATTTGAGGAGGGGAAAGTCAAGAACATACATTGAGATGATATTTGACTTGGGTCTTAAGAATACCAATGACTTTGCCAAACTTTAGAGTGTGTGTTAGGGGCTCATTCATGTCCGACTCTTTGCAACCCCATGGACTGAAGGCGGCCAGGCTCCTCTGTCCATAGAATTCTCCAGGCAAGAATACTAGAGTGGGTAGGCATTCCCTTCTCCAGGGGATCTTCCCAACCCAGGGATTGAGCCCAGATCTCCTCTATTGCAGATAGATTCTTTACTGTCTGAGCCACCAGAGGAGCCAGATATTAAAGTAGAGAAAGGCATTTCATGTGGAAGTGAGACCATGAGCAAAGTCACAGGAATTTGAAAGAACATGGAACATTCAGAAATATAAAGCAGGTCAGTGTGGTTGGAGCACAGTTTTCATGGAGGGGAGTAGAGAGAGAAATTGGGAATAAAGCCAGTCATATGAGCAATACTATGAAATTTGGAATTCATTCTATCTGTCACAAAACATAAGCATTAAATCTAAGAAATCTTAACTCTTAAAAGAGAACTATACCCATTATCTTGATAATTTTACCCTAAATGTGCCGCTTTATTTTTCTTTTACTCAAGGACTTGTTTCCATTTATTTACAGCTCTGTAAGACCTTAAGACTTATCTTGATCACGTGACCATTTACTCTTCCTTTAATATGCTGTATTATTTACTACAAATAATACTTTTTTGCAATCTTGGAGATTTTCCATTGTTCTCAGTCCTCCAGTCCACTTACAAAACATCGTAAATGAAATTATAATGCACTCACTGGAAAGTACATTGCACACCACTTAAATCCAGTTTCCTGATGCATAAGCAGCCACTGCATGCCAATGCCACAAACTGAGCTGAGCTTTACAGTCTAAACAGAGTGAGTAAAAGTGCCTGATTAAACCTTCCTATAAGATCGAGAATGAAAAGCTATTACTTTTGTGTCCCTCTGAAGTTATGTTCTGTCTTCTTTCCTACAAGCAGATCTCAGAGGTGGTGCTCACTTACATCTCCATATAATCTTTAAAACTGGAGGCAGAGGAAAAGATCTGTCTAGTAAAATAACTGTTCCAAGGACTGGTCATAAGACAACTGTTCTGAGCTCAGTCCTTGAAGACCAAATAATATCATGTATTTTGTTCTTTGCCATTTCCTAGTCAAAATTGTTACACAAGCAACCAACCAATGGAAGATCAAATTGGGTAGAGAGAGATAATATGAACTTTAAAAAAATAATAGTAATAAAAATAAAAAAGAAATAAAATATTTAAGTATATTAACAAACCAAGAACAGAGCTTGAAATGTAAAAGATGACATTTAAAAGGAATAATGCAAAGTCTCACACTTTGAAAGCATAATCAAAAAATTAAACGGGATTAAAAGACAGAAACAAACAGGAGAGTTTAGTGAATTTCAAGGTCAACATAAGGCAATAGTGCAATGTAACCAATAAAGGTGCTATGTGATTGACAAAGAAGAAAGAAATACTATGGAAGTGCTATGGTATCATGCTTCATTAGCACAGAAACAGAAATCTGTGGTCACATCTGCAACATTTATTTGACTTAAAGTCCATGGTTTAAGAGGAACATTGACAAACTGGAACATGTTCATTTAAGTGATACAATGATACGATCACTAGCCCAAGACAGACACTTGGAACTCACCTTTGAATTCTACCAATTCTACTGATCCCCACATCCATTGAATTCATAATGTTGTTAATACAGCCAGTATCTATTGACCACTATATCCTGGGCACTGAACCCATCATCTAAGACAAAGGTGCTCAATTGGTAAGCAATTTACGCTCAGGAGACAGCTGAGGGCTGGGGAGCCACAGACACCTAGTGGGTATAGGCCAGGGGTGCTACTGAACATCCAAATGCACAAAACAAATCAAATTATCCAGTCAAAATAATATACACATCCAGTCCAAAATGTCAATAGTACTGAAGTAAAGAAGACTTGATCTAAGGCTACAAGTATAAACAAATTTCATAATGCTCATAGCCTCGCAGAGCTTGGGATCTAGTGAAAGAGACTGACAAAACCTAGGCACTCTTTTAGGAATGCATTATTTTCTCACAACTAGGAAGCTTGAAAGACAGCCCAAGGTACGTAAGAGAGCACAATGATGCCTTCAGGAGGACAGGCTCTTTATAACTTTTCTCCATCACCTTTAATATGTAGGTTTTACCTTTTTACTTTTACTATCAATACTGTAAAATGGCTACTACATCTTTGGACTTTATCCCACATAGAAATCTTTTTTTATTTGGAAATGAATATCATCCCAAATTCTGCCTATATCATATTAGAAGTTTATCACATGGAAGGAAAATATAGAAAATTGAAGGAGTTTTTGTTGCTGTTGATTTTGGTTGTGGTTTATGCTTTGGTTGGTTACTATCCTGAATAATATCAGAAACCTAACTGTAAGGAATAGAGGGAGAGGAACTGGAATTGTGGCAGCTGGGAGTATTGCCACAAGAACAGACAAACAAGCAATCAAGATACTTAACAACTGTAGAAGAAGGAAAGAAACACACAGTGTGCTTTATTTAAAAAAATCTGGTGGGGGGGGTTGCATCTAATTTAGATGAGTGATTCAAGATCAGTTAAAGAATTAAGCTGAAACCTGGAGGATGAGAAAATTGCTGGAAAAGTTAATTGAACAGGCTATGATAAAAGCTGAATCCTCATTAGCCACAATAGCATGTTAAAACATGCTACCTCTAAATTTTTTTAAAGGTAAGAAGTTTAACTATGCTCTTTAGAAAGAAGGAGGCAAAATCAGAAGACTCAACTTGAAGAGCTGAAAATGACTGTATTTAGGAAGTATGAGTTGTATGTGGGAAAGACTGGAGCAAAGGGACTTTTATAGTCCTTCATGAAACTTGACTTTTTTAAAGGAAATTTAAAAGAAAAGAGGGACTTCTATTTTGAAATCTTGGTAAAGAATGACCGCCACTAAGCAGAAATTTATTCTTATTTTCCCCTATGAAATAGGAAGCTTCAGACTTTTAATTTGAGAAAGAGTTTAAGAACAAACAATGAATAAAATCTGTCATGGCTTTCAAATGGAAACTATAGCAAAATGAGTAAGACAGGTTATCAATCAGATTAAGTAAATTACACATGGAAATATACTCTTGTATTTTTCATGTGGACTTCAAAACAGATCTTCTGACACGTGCTAAAATCTACTTCTGCAGTGTTCTTTCCTGCTAGTCTTTGGATTTGGTCAGACTTTCATTAAAATGAAAGTCACTCAGTTGTGTCTGACTCTTTGCTATTCCATGGACTGTCCATGGAATTCTCAAGGCCAGAATACTGGAGTGGGTAGCCTATCCCTTTTCCAAGGGATCTTCCTGACCCAGGAATCAAACCAGAGTCTCCTGCACTTCAGGCAGATTCTTTACCAACTGAGCTATCAAGGAAGTTCATTGCATCTGCTAAAAACTGAACAGACTCTTACCACATGGTGGCAGCTTTGAACACATTTCAAAATGTTGATAATGGACATCAAATGTTTCCAACTGAACAGTGAAGACATCTGCTCTTTCTCTTCTGGTTTAAAAGATAAATGTTCATGTGATCCCTGAAAGGCAGAAGAAATGCAGTTTTTCATTTTGGTGGAAAAATGCCCTGTGAGATTAATGATCTCCACATGGCTGAAATTCCCAACTGACTTATAATGACAAAAAGAAAAAAAAATGTGTCTTCTTATCGACTAGAACTCTTGTATACATTATCCTCCTTCATCACGATCACTTATCATGAGGCCCTTCTGGGCCACAAAATGAAGAGTGAGTGGCAGATCACCCAAATGGTTTCACATACAATATATGATTATGCCAGTACCAAAGACGCTGATAATTTGTGACAAGGGTGAAAGGGCTAGTCTGCTATGGGAATCAGCTCCACTCAGCCACTGAGACTACACATAATGAAAGGCATGGCTAACTTTGCAAATGTACACCTTAAAGCTGTCAAAGAAAAATGAGCCTACTAGAAAGCTAAAAAGAGTACCAATTCATTTTACCTTAGTTTGAAAAGAACCCAACCTAGACAACAGATGCAAAAATACAATGACCTCCTGCATAGTCTCCTACATTTAACAACTGTCAATACTTTGTGCATTTTTGTCACTCTATTTTCATATTACCCATTTATATATTATGATTAATATTTTCTTGGACAAAGTTGAAAGCTAAGTAGTATATACCATGACCAACATTTGTCCCTATTTCTGTGTGTCCCCTAAGAAGAATGGCATCCTCTTATATAACTACAATCCAATTGTCAATTTCAGGAAATTTAACATGGATTCAACACAATATTCCAATATATATTCCATAGGAAATTGTTCCAAAAGTCTCTTAATTTTTTCAAATAACCAATTTAATACTTAAAACAAGAAATACTATATTTAGTATGATATAAGAATGTTAAATACATAAGGAAAACTTATTTAAATCAAGTTGAGTGAAACTAAGTAAACCCAAAGAGTAGAAAAAAAGTGGGGAACTGCTACTAAATTCTTTTTTAGAAAAGTACTCAACATCTGATTGAAATAGGTGAATTAAACGACAAAATCTGAACCCAGACAGCCCTAGGAAGGCCTCGTGTCTCTTCTATTTATTAGCAATATGTCATTGAGCAAGTTGCATTACTTTTCTGTGCCACAGTTTTGTTATCTGTAATAGAAGGGCAGTTTGTTGTGTTTTTTTTTTCAAAATAAAAAAATTTAGGACATTAAAACCGACTTTATATGGTAAGTACATTTCCCAGTGGCTGGAATGCAGTAGGTGCTTAATAAATTTTATCTTTCATTCCTAGCATCTTGAAAACTTAAACTCTTCCCAACAACCTCCCTAAAACTAGTTCAGCAAAAAAGAATTTCTGCTCCAAAGTTAAACTTCATGGTTCACGATGCCATGTTGCCCACTGGTTTCCAACTGAACGCTCTCATCCCACTGCCGTCAAGGGGCATGTCACAGCTAATTATCTGTCATCACGCCCTGTTGCATAGGCAGTGCCCTGCCTGCTGCTGCTGGGACCTCGTTGCTGTCTGTGGATTCATTTGCATTGCCTCCGGAGTGTCTCTGCTCTGTACGGATCACGCAGAATGAAGCCCAGGGGCCAGCTAGCTGGCCCATCTGAATTGCGGAGCATATCTAAAGCCCCTCCTCATTAGTTAGTGAGTAATGTGGGGGATGTTCACTGGTTCACACACCCTGGCAGTGTAAACGGTCATCTGCTGCCTCATCTGCTTTTCCGCGTCTGGGGTGCAGGACCAGATCGGCTGAGGAACTTTGCTAGCACTTATGCAAATAGCTATGGGAGTTCCTGGGTTTGGCAGCATTTCCTTTCCGAAGCCTCATTTGTGGCTGTGCCGTCTGCCTCTTTTGTGCTTCCACATTTTTGTGAGGAGACCTCAGAATACATCTCTCCCATGTTCATGTTGTATTTCTGTCAGTACATTTAATCCACCCTGTTTAATGACTGTAATGTGTCTGTTTAAACCCTGAAAGAACATATTTTTAAGATACAATCAGATTAGATATAACTAGTTTTCCAAATTAAATTTAGATTTAAAGTGCATAAATAAAATGTTAATGAATGTATAGACATACAGCAATGAGTCCAAAACTGTTAGGCATGCACATATAATATATAATGTATAATACATAATTATTAATTATTAATATATTAACATACAAATACTAATATATTTTATAATATATACAAATATTAATATAATAATATAATATATAATACAATAATTTCATTCCAATACTGTATTCTTCCAAATACATTACATCATACATACAAATTTCTAAAATTATTTTCAACCAACTTCATAGTGTGACTGTGGAATCAGCAACAGCACATTAGTAAATGACAAAGATATAATTTAATCTTGATACAAATTCTTATTCCATTAATGAAGTTTCTCAACTTTTCTTCTTTTCTCCATGTTGTGCTATAATTTTTAAAAATATTTATAAATTTTATAATTTAGGGGATACTCCTATAGAAACTAAATTCAAAGTTGGCTTAAAAAGAAGGAAAAAAAGATTTAGAAATAAGCTACCGCTGTAGAGGAGCTTGATCCATAATACAAGGAACTGGGAAAAGCTCTGCAAATATGATACTTAAAACTGATTTCCTCTAGGTGGCAGTATAGTCCCAGAACTTAAACCTTAACCATAATGAAAAACTAAGAGCACCAAACAATAATTGCTTATTACCAGTCCATACTATTTATACATTTGAGAGATTTTTTTTCTTTTGAAAACTAAGCTAAATTTACAACTGTGAATGTTCATCTGCAGATGATATAGTGGATTTTGTACTAGAAAGAATAAAATGTGGCTATATTTCAGCAAACACACATTGTTTTCCGTATCTTTTTTGGTGCTGTAAGATCTTAACATTCATTTCTGGATACTATAATTTACTTTCTTCTTTATATAGACATTAACACGGTTATAAAAACTCAATAAACTTTATCTTAGTTAATTACTGATATCCTTTACAATAATTGGACTCAATTCAGTAATGCCCACTGGCACAGAGTCTTGAATTATATCTTATCACCAACTGTCTAGATTTGTTTAGTTAGACAAACAGAATTTTAAAAGCAACACAACAACACACAAAGATTTTAATGAGTATGTAGTTGATGTGTTGTATCCCAAAATGTACTGAATTGAAACACTAGAATCCCCAGTTCCTCAGCCATAAAAAAATTCTTCTTTCTTCTCTGCAAATTAAGCTTCCCCAGTCATCTATACACCATCCTGATGCGTCTCAGTGATCAGACTTAGAATAACAGTGACACATCTTCACCCACAGATTTAGAGCCTTCCAGAAATTCACTACACCTTACCTTTTAATTTTTCTCTAAACTTTATTTTAAAAACCTCAAATCCTCAAACAACTGAAAAAGCAAAACAACGAAACACTTCATTTCACTAGTTACTAACATTTTATGACATGTTTTACCTCTCTAAGCAAGCACTTTGGCATTTAAGTAGAACATTTCTGAGGAATAGAAAATTCTTGTTAATCAAAAACATCAGTGAATGTAAATAAGCCTGACAGTTATTCATGAAGTCTTCAGTCTAATTATTATACTATATGACACATAAAGTGTTCCTGAATGTATGAGTGTGTCTAGTTGCCTATTAGGATGATTTGTAGTCCCCAGAAAGGACTGGAACTCTGAATCAGATAGATAAACATACAGTGCAATCACAAAACACTAAGAGGATCATTGCAGTCCCTTCCAGAGCTCACACTACAGAGCAAACACAACCTCTGTCTCCTCTGAACATTCAGATCACCTCGATTTATACCATTAACATTACTCTGTAAACTGAGGAGGGAGAAATTACAAAGAAGAGGGCTAGGTGACCTGGGTTACCAATCTATACAGGTCTGGAAGACATCACTTGAAAATTCGGAAAAGATGGTTCTAATGACCTTACACATAACTCCTGGCAAAATGTAGAGGGGTCTCTCTCTGATCAAATGAGATGAGAAATTTTTTTAAAAATGAAACTAAACTCTATGATAGAATTAAAGCTGTCTATTAAGTAAATGAATACACTGTATATTTTTTCATTAACAGTCTGAATGGCTGGCAAATGATTAGCCTGTCCTGGGCCCTAAATCTCAGTCCTACTCAATTTGCTTCCATAGCTCTGTGGCCAACTCTATTGACCATATTTCTTTCACAGTTAAGGTGAAAGTTCATGTATCAAAGTTCCCCAGAGAGTAATATTGAAACTATGCTCACTTTTCTGGAAGGCTTTATTTTGCACTTTGTCAAAACATATAAAGAAAAATGTCTCTCTCTGCCTAAACAAAAGCTTTTTGGTTATTGTTTCTTTTTAATAACTCAGAAGATCTCTATGTTAATTATTTTATGAGTTTAAAATTCGGTTTTGGTTCCCTACTTGCCTCTGTAACAAATCACTACTACAAAACTGATGGGTTTAAAATAACACAAATTTACTCTCCCGCTTTTGGGAAGACAGATATCCAAAAGCAGCTGCACCGGACTGAAAGTGATGTGTAGGCAGGACCATGTTCCCTTAGAAAGTTTTACAGGAGGATTCCTTTCCTTGTCTTCTCCGGTTTCAAGAGTTTTCCTCCCTGCTTCCCTTGGCTCATGGTCCCTTCCTCCATCTCTGTAGCCAAAAGCATACATGTTCTTGCTCTGATTTTTCTCTGCCACCTGGCCTTCTTCTCCTCTGTCAATCACCCTCTGCCTTTCTCTTAGGATATTTCTGACCATATTCAGAGTCCTCTCAGATAATCCAGGATCACCTCTCCCCATGTCAGGATCCCTAACTTAATCACGATGGCAAAATCCATTTGTCATAAAAGGTTACATTCATAGGTTCCAGCTATTAGGATCTAGCTACCATGGGAGGCTCTTTTTCATCCTACCACAAATACTTTCTCTGCACGCCCATTTGGGGAAATTGGCTCAGTTATTACCAACAGAGAAAAATGAAGCCAGCTCCAAATTTTTCATTTTTCTTCATTAAACTGCCATGAAAATCTTATACTTAGTCTCTTTTCTGGCAATTAGAGAAGATGCTGAATCAAGATGGTAAAAATTACGGAAGGATTCTGCTCTGTCCTCATAAATCTTCCACAGGGATGTCCCTCATGCTCCAGTGGCTAAAACTCCAAGCTCCCAGTGCAGGGGGCCCAGGTTTGATGCCTGGTCAGGGAACTAGATCCCACATGCCACAGCTAAGACCCAGCATGACCAAACAGAAATATTTTTAAAAAATAAACTTTCATGAAACCAAGATGGCTTTATTTGTCACACCTTTCACAAGAAAAGTAACCCACTTGCCCTTATTAAAATACCTTTCAGAATTAAGGAGGGTCCCGGGGGGGGGGCACCCACAGTCCACTGCTCTTTGCAAAGTGCAAACTCTATTTAGGTGATCTCAACCATTCTTTATGCTACTAATTCCCAAACTGTCTATATTTCACCTTAGCCACTGCTGTGAGCTTCAGTTCCATATAACTAACTGTAGGTTAAACAAATCTATTTGACTGACTCTCAAGAACTTCAAACTCTGTATATCCAAAATGGAACTATTTCTTTTCCCTACATTAAAATGCCTAATCTTCCTTTACCCTGTGACTCAGTTAAAATTGCCACCATCTATGAGAAGTTTAGGCAGAAATCTGGGAGTCATTTTGGGTTCTTCCTTTCTCTTTCATCCTCCAGTCAGCTACCCCATCTTTATAATTCATCCACGCCATTTCTGCTCATTCATCCTCCAATTCTCTTTCTCTGATCCTTTTAACACTATGTAAGAAGTCTTAGATGTTTTCACTTTGTGACACTTCAGTATATTAACAAGGGAAAAAAAGCCAAATCAGTTATAAAACGTAGAGTATATATTAAACACCTAATTTGAATAGTGTTCTCAAAAGGGAACTTCCTTGGTGATGTAGGGGCTAAGGCTCTGTGCTCCAAATACAGGGTGGGGCCCAGGTTCAATCCCTGTTCAGGGAACTAGATCCCACATGAAGCCAACTAAACATCCCACAGGCCACAACTAAGACCCAGCGGAATCAAATAAATATTTTTAAAAATGAACGTGAAACTGTGATTCATGAGACAATTACAGGTCTTACAAAACTTCAGACTATATTAAAAGAAATAAAGCTAATATTAGAACATGAATTTAAAATCATTTGATACTGTATTCTTGCAAACCTGTCAGTGTTTATCTGAGTCTGAATGTATAATCTCATGTGGAAATATTAAAAAAATCTATACTTGAAGTCCTTGGTGAATGTGAATACAATAGCACCTGTCCTTTCTGTAATTTCCCTCTGCACTGCCTCTGAATCATCGATGGTGAGGTTGGAGATAGATGGGCCCCTGGGCTGAACAGCTGGTGTTCGTCAAATGAAGTAAAATTGAAGCTTTGTTCTTACCCAGACGCTCCAGAGACAAAGCTAGTGGAGAAGGTGAGTTCTGCTGAGGCAGAGAGATAAGAGGACCACTCCTGAGGTCCAAGAAAAATTCACTGTCTAGTCATTTTGTTAATTTCTTGAACTAAACTTTAAAAATCAATTTTATTTGAGGCACAATTTATATGTAATAAATAGACACA